TTCAAGCTTCAGAATTGCCTGATCATAGAATTCCGATATTATGCAAAAAGTATGTTTTGTTGATTACCTTGATGTCATCACTAGGATCATTTACACACAATACATTATAAAATTGTTTTCCCATCATACCAGTGAATAGTTTAACATTTATGGAGTTCCCCTTTAAGTTTCAAAATTAGAGATTGGCAGAAGCTTCCCTAAATTGTTGTTTGGTTGACATTAATCAGTGCATGTCTTTCATCATTCTCTCCAAGTTAAAAAAGCCACGTTTCATTTATTTATCGTATTCTGGCTGCCAAACATGATACTATAAGGATCAGTATATATTGTCTTCTGTATGGTACATATATATGCTCTAAAACATGAATAAGCGGTCAGAGTGTGCATCTGGACCCGGTAACGACATTACCTATTGACGCAGCAACCACTGTAAGTTATATTCTTGTTTAATTAGACTTCTCCGTTTCATTTATTCGACTCTGTATAAATTGTTATTGTAGCTTTAACGGCTAAATCGCGTTTGAGAGATTTTAAATCTCAGATCTGCTCAGGCGAAACCTGCTTTACAGGTCTCAGCACTCAAGCCTGCATTAATATAGGCACGGCCAGTCTACTGATAGCGTGAAGTACAACCGCGTGACTCAGTCATTTTGTACCTTAAAAAGCATTTAAATACCGCATTTAAAATCTGATGAACTCAGTGTGCATCTGGACCCGGTAACGACATTACCTATTGACGCAGCACCCCTGTAAGTTATATTCTTGTTTAATTAGACTTCTCTGTTTCATTTATTCGACTCTATATAAATTGTTATTGTAGCTTTAACGGCTAAATCGCGTTTGAGAGATTTTAAATCTCAGATCTGCTCAGGCGAAACCTGCTTTACAGGTCTCAGCACTCAAGCCTGCATTAATATAGGCACGGCCAGTCTACTGATAGCGTGAAGTACAACAGCGTGACTCAGTCATTTTGTACCTTAAAAAGCATTTAAATACCGCATTTAAAATCTGATGAACTCAGTGTGCATCTGGACCCGGTAACGACATTACCTATTGACGCAGCAACCACTGTAAGTTATATTCTTGTTTAATTAGACTTCTCTGTTTCATTTATTCAACTCTGTATAAATTGTTATTGTAGCTTTAACGGCTAAATCGCGTTTGAGAGATTTTAAATCTCAGATCTGCTCAGGCGAAACCTGCTTCACAGGTCTCAGCACTCAAGCCTGCATTAATATATGCACGGCCAGTCTACTGATAGCGTGAAGTACAACCGCGTGACTCAGTCATTTTGTACCTTAAAAAGCATTTAAATACCGCATTTAAAATCTGATGAACTCAGTGTGCATCTGGACCTGGTAACGACATTACCTATTGACGCAGCAACCACTGTAAGTTATATTCTTGTTTAATTAGACTTCTCTGTTTCATTTATTCAACTCTGTATAAATTGTTATTGTAGCTTTAACGGCTAAATCGCGTTTGAGAGATTTTAAATCTCAGATCTGCTCAGGCGAAACCTGCTTTACAGGTCTCAGCACTCAAGCCTGCATTAATATAGGCACGGCCAGTCTACTGTCGCCCATCAGCTGTAGATAGTTAACTAATTAGAGGGCCATGGCCCTACAGCTGTGTGAACTGAGCAATCAGGCGTCCATTTTTGGGTAGCTCTTTCCTGGAGCGTCAGCTTCAGCGTCAGACAGCCGAACTCTGACAAAGACATTGGAGTCCTGCGGGAGTAAGACTGACAAAGACATTGGAGTCCTGCGGGAGTCACGAGGGAGGCAAAGAGGAGGCAAATCCTACTCTGATTGAGCTGGTGTCTTATTTATCTTTTCTTTAGTTTTCTAGCCCCTCATGCTATAATCATGTGTATTTTCTCCATTCCTGTTCATGTGTCTTCTCGCAATTATCACTGGCCCCGTGTATCTCCTAATCGATATAACCGGCCTGCTCTCGTCTATCCCACATGCTCCACTGAGATCCAACATCTAGTTTCAGGTGGCCTGTGGAACTGCCAGTCAGCTGTTCCTAAGGCTGACTTCATCTCTGGCTACGCCTCCCTGCAGTCTCTGGATTTCCTTGCTCTCACTGAGACCTGGATTACTCCATCCAACACATCCACCCCAGCAGCTCTCTCCACTGCATATTCCTTCTCCCATACACCCAGACCCACTGGCAGAGGAGGTGGCACTGGTCTCCTGCTATCTCCCAAATGGAGCTTTTCCCTCTTCAAGCTACCTAACTTCACTCCTTCCACCTTTGAATTCCATGCCGTCACAGTAACCCATCCTATACAGTTAACCATTGTTGTTCTCTACCGTCCACCAGGCGCCTTGGGGGACTTCTTGGAGGAATTAGATAATCTCCTCTCACTCATCCCTGAAACTGGCCCTCCCACTGTACTTCTCGGAGACTTCAACCTCCAGACGGGGAAGATAGACGAACTAACATCTCTGTTAACCGCCTTTGCTTTCTCACTGTCTCCGTCCCCACCGACTCATAAAGCTGGCAATGTCCTTGATCTCATATTCTCAAGGAACTGCTCTACTTCTAACCTCTCTGTAAACCCGCTCCACACATCCGATCACTTCTTCATTTAATTCTCTCTATCCCTTTCCAAACATAACAAACTAATCTCTTCCCATCCTGCACTTGTCCGCCGTAACCTTCGCTCCCTCTCCCCCCCCTACCTTTGCCTCGTCGGTGCTCTCAGCCCTCTCTTCCTCTGAAACTCTCCTCTCTACTCTCTCATCCACTCTGGACTCGCTCTGTCCTCTCACATCTCGGCAGACTCGTCAGTCCCCTCCTGCTCCCTGGCTAAATGATGCACTGCGTGCTAATAGAACCGTCCTTAGGGCAGCAGAGCGGAAATGGTGGAAATCCAAACACCGTGACGACCTCCTAACCTATCAAGCTCTCCTCTCCTCTTTCTCTGCTTCGATCTCTCAGGCAAAAAGCACTTTCTTTCAAGATAAGATCCAATCTTCCTATTCCAATCCTAAAAAACTATTTTCCATCTTCTCCACCCTCTTGGACCCTCCAAAAGCTCCTCCCCCCTCCTCACTTCTGTCAAGCGACTTTGTTACCCACTTTGGAAAAAAGGTTGATGATATTCGCTCTTCTTTTTCTGACTCACCTTTACTCACCGCTGGGTCACCAGACCCTCCTTCCACCAACACACTTACCTCCTTTTCCCCTCTCTCTCCAAGTGAGGTTCTTACCCTCATTACCTCTGCCCGCCCTACCACCTGTCCTCTGGACCCTATCCCTTCAAACCTCCTTCAGACTATCGCTCCTGATATTCTACCGTTTCTCACCCATTTCATCAACACTTCTCTAACTTCTGGTCACTTTCCAAACAGTCTCAAGGAGGCAAGAGTAAACCCTCTCCTAAAGAAACCCACTCTCAACCCGTCTGATGTTATAAACTACAGGCCTGTCTCTCTCCTCCCGTTCCTGTCTAAATCACTTGAACGCGCTGTCTTTAAACAACTCTCCTGTTATCTCAATCAGAACAACCTTCTGGATCCGCACCAGTCTGGTTTCAAGGCAGGTCACTCCACAGAAACTGCTCTCATTGCTGTCACGGAGGAACTGCACACTGCCAAAACTGCATCCCTCTCCTCTGTCATCATCCTATTGGACCTGTCTGCCGCATTCGACACGGTGAATCATCAGATCCTCCTTCGCACTCTCCAAAAACTTGGAGTTTCAGGCTCTGCACTTTCCCTCCTCACCTCATACCTGAAAGACCGTACCTACAGGGTGACTTGGAGAGGGTCTGAGTCCGACCCTTGTCAATTAACTACGGGGGTCCCTCAGGGCTCTGTTCTTGGTCCCCTCCTCTTCTCCGTGTACACAAACTCGCTCGGATCAGTCATTAGCCCGCATGGTTTTTCTTACCACTGCTACGCTGATGACACCCAATTAATTCTGTCCTTTCCCCGCTCAGAGACCCAGGTCGTTGCACGCATCTCTGCTTGTCTAGCTGACATCTCTCAGTGGATGTCTGCTCACCACCTCAAGCTCAACCTTGACAAGACTGAGCTGCTCTTCCTCCCGGGAAAAGATTGTCCCACTCTTGACCTAACAATCAACATCGGCACCTCAGTTGTTTCCCCGACTCAGACTGCAAGGAATCTGGGTGTGACCCTAGATAACAACCTGTCCTTCACTGCAAACATCGCTGCTACAACCCGTTGCTGCAGATACACGCTTTACAACATCAGGAAGATACGTCCCCAGCTGACTCAGAAAGCGACTCAGGTTCTGGTCCAGGCTCTCGTCATCTCACGCCTAGACTACTGCAACTCCCTCCTGGCTGGTCTACCTGCATGTGCCATCCGACCTCTGCAGCTCATCCAGAATGCAGCGGCTCGTCTGGTCTTCAACCTTCCTAAATTCTCCCACACCACTCCGCTCCTCCGCTCCCTTCACTGGCTTCCGGTAACTGCTAGAATCCACTTCAAGACACTGGTACTTGCTTACCATGCTGTGAATGGATCTGGCCCTTCCTACATCCAGGACATGGTTAAACCGTACACCCCAGCGCGTGCACTACGCTCTGCATCAGCCAAACGACTCGTTGCGCCCTCGCTGCGAGGGGGACCCAAGTTCCCATCGGCGAAAACACGTGGGTTTGCTGTCCTGGCTCCAAGATGGTGGAATGAGCTCCCCATTGACATCAGGACGGCAGATAGCTTGCACATCTTCCGGCGCAAACTGAAAACTCATCTCTTTCGACTCCACTTCGAGCGTTAGAACTACTAACGAAGCACTTTTATACTAATAAAGGACTGGCTTACCTAAAGCCAGTGGAATAGCACTTGAAATGTTTGGCTCTATGAAACCTGATGTACTTATATGATTCTGTTTTCTCCAAGGTTGTGTCTTCCTGGTCGAATGTACTTATTGTAAGTCGCTTTGGATAAAAGCGTCAGCTAAATGCAATGTAATGTAATGAGGACAGATGAAAGATATACACAAGGGTGCTTTACCTTTGAAACCTTCCTCGTCAAGGACAACTGTGTAGTTCTCTGGTGTCTCTGTCAGACTGAAAAACTTGCATCTGAAACAGAAGAGGAAGTACAGATGAGGAGAGGCATGTGGTTGGAGATAGAAAGAACATAAAAGGGCAGGAGATAAAAAGGGGGGGAGAGGTGAAAAGTGTTATGCATTTGCAACCAACTAAAGAAGGTTCAGATTTCAAGAATCAAGTAAATGGGGTTCTCCGAAAGTCACACTGGTTTCAGGACTGTCTGTCGCTCGATAAGCAAAAGCCCGAGCTCCACATTATGCCAGCATTGCTCCTTTGTCCACAGCAAATTGGTGGGTAATACAACAAACTGGGGCACTGCTGCATTCAAGGAAAGGCCTGGCATGACCTTTCTAAAATGTGATGATATGCAAGTTTCAGAAGCTGCAGCATTGCAAATAAGCATCCGATATGAAAATCGTCATATGGGATCGCAGAACTGCTTTATACAAGACATTTCCTCGATGATAATGTAGTTTACTTTCTTTCTCCAGCTTGGTATTTGTGCATCATTGGGCTTCGGGCCAAAAGCATTTGCTTTCAAAGGCTTTGGCTTGGCCTGGCCACAGTGTTCAGTTCTATTGAATGTTGCCTTTGTGAAACAAGTACAAAAAAACAACATCAAAGTACATAGGCCCAGAAGGTTTGGTATGGGTTGAGGGGAAGAACTGGGAAGTGAAACGCATTTTCTTGGATTACACCAGCTCCAAACGACTTTTATGAATCAAATCCAGTTTCTGCAACTAAGAATTTCCTTTTGTTCTTAATCCAAAGAAATACCTTTGGTAAGTGTAACAGCAAAAATAGGGAGATACATTGGAGTTTGAGGGAGTTGTTACTGTGATTACTGTGTACACCAGGAACTGCGTTTGCCCTGTGTCCTGGACATAGATATGAACTTTGACAAAGGAAAATTAGTGTCCACTATTCACTGGCTAGTCCAGAATTAAAGGGGCCCTGTTATGCTTATTTTCAGGTTCATATTTGTATTTTGTTCTTCTACTGTGACATGTTTACATGCTATAATGTTCAAAAAGCTCTTTACTTCTCTCATACTGCCTGTGCTGCAGCACCTCTTTTCACCCTCTGTCTGCAACCAAAGCCCAGTCTGCTCTGATTGGTTAGCTGGCCGGCTCTGTTGTGGTTGGTCAACCGCTAAAGCCCCTGTCACACTGTCCCGGAATTGACACACGATAAAGGAAATGTTCAAATTTGGCTCTGATCGTAACAACATCGGGCCATTCGTGAGGGCACTTAAGCCATCGTATGACTGCCGGTGGAGTTTCTCAGGCACCGGCAGCAACTTCGTGAGCGGTGGCAAAATCTTTGGCATGCCAAAAAATTGTCGAAGGACCTTGCGAAGGTTCATTTTCATGTTGAATTTGTGTGTCCATTTTGCCCTTCGTAAGGCCAGCGTGAGTGCATCTTGTCAAATCGTGTCATCTTCGTCTTTACTTCGTGTGATCATCGGTGCCATCGGGCATTTTTCGCCTCACGAAGACAATACGAAGGAAACAAGAAGCTGCCCGATTGTCTTAGGGCAATCAGGCAGGCAACACGACTATGTGAAGCCCTCGGAATGCCATCGTATTATAGTACGATGACATCGAGATTGCATTTATTGCACAACAAAATCATGTAAACATATTATGTAAATAACCCAATTTGTGTTTTGTGAAAATGAAAAGGATATTACATTTTTTTTGTTACTTTTGTTGCAGTTGTATGTCTTAAATGTAATTTAGGTTAAAGGTGGGGTAGGTAAGTTTGAGAAACCGGCTCGAGATACACTTTGTGTTATATTCCATGGAATGCTCTTAACATCCCGATAGCAATGAATATCTTAAGTGCTTTGACAAAAAAATCCATAAAAAAATGTCATCTGTGGAAGCCGTAGTACTGTAAAAAGCACAACCAATCATTTTAGCCGGCCCGGCTAAAATAACTGGATGGCCTACCTGCCTGTCAGCCTTCCATCTGTGCACAAACTTACCTCGTGCCTCATTGGTCATGTGCGCATTTGTGTGTGTTGGAGGAGGGGCTCTGTAAGGAAGTGGCAGATTTTTTCCGGTTGTGTATTTTCAAATTCCAGCGCACTCCAGCTGGTTTCACCAAAATTACCCACCCCACCTTTAACTTCCTGTTTTATTTAGATGCTTTTATTTTGAAGGCGAGTTTACGCTGTTGACAGGAAGTTGTTGTTGCTATGGAAACAACATGACGGAGTTAAGTAATATCTTCTAATCTACATATAAAGACGGAGAAAGTAAAGAATAAAGTGTATGTTTAAATGTTAGCACCCCCCGAAGAGGCACAAGCTCTTACGTTGAGTCTGGATGCATTCTAAATCATAAGTAAAGTCTACGACCATATTTCCGTGTGTGGTTCGGGTGCCATTGTGTGGCCTTCTGTAGGCATCGTACTAGCTTTGGCTGTTGCTTGGCTGTTGACCAACTTCGGGCCTTCTTCGTTCCGAAATTCACAATTCTATAATTCCATCTGGTGTCAATTTCAGGACAGTGTGACAGGGGCTTAAGAGATGTCCCGCCCCTTAGCCCATCATGTACAATGTGTTGGAGGGCTAGCCAATGGGAGTCCAATCGAGTCCTTCAGGCATCAAGCTCTGATTGGCACCTCTGACAAACTTATTCTCTATAGAGTGAGCGGACAAAGCTCAATATGGGAAATATTTAAAACAACTGACCATACTGTGGTTTTTTTCCCCCATAAGTTTTAGTGGGGAGACATTTGTGTTTTCCTTAAATCCCTCAAATTAAAGCGCTATATTATTCATGTTTTCCAGAAATGTCTCACAGGAGATACACCATTCTCTTCCTCTGCTTGTCGGTCAGCTGAAGCTATTACAGTAGGAGCCTGAGTGAGAGTGCAATACTCCTGACTCAGCAAAAAGTAATCCCTGCCATGAGACCAGACAATCACCCCACATAGAGACAAAGAGAGGGAGCACTAACTACCAGCTGTGGTAGCAACCTCAGCCAGCCTATTGTGCTATATTACACCCCCCCATTTCCTTGTGACCCCTCACCTTCCCTTGCTGGAAGTTTCCTGCAGGTAATGCGTGCCAAGCATCTATCCTGCCAATGAGACAGATAAAGAGAGGAGCTTTATAGCATGTGGTGTGCCTTTGGAGAAGACCGTTGGTGCTCTTATTTTGCACCTGCATGGCCGAACAAACCTCTACAACGTATTGGTTGTGGGTTGTTAAAAACCTGAGGGTATGCATCAGTTTGTATTTGACTTCCTGTTTATAAAGGCAGTGCACTGAGAAGCACACAGAAAGATGTACTTGCCTATCATTATTCATCTTCCTCGCATCAGTCTAAGGAGTATTGCTTTACATTACCTACGATCAGTACACCCCTGTACTTCTTATGAAGGGCAAAGACAACTTTATATCTGTTGTTGCAGAAATGAATTACACATGTCCTTCCAAAAAACTAATCTAATCAGCAAAACGAAGATGTTGTAATATATCACTTGGTAGAATAAATGTAAAAAGAGGGCCAACCCAATGTCTCCCCATAATAAAGCTTACTGCCCTTACTTTATCTTTTTTTAGCAACACATAAAAAGGACAAACAGACAAGTAGAGGACAAATACAGCCCAAATGGAACACAGTATTAGAGATGTCCCGATCCCGATCCCCGGATCGGATCGGCCCCCGATACTGGGTTTTAAGGTGGATCGGGATCGGCAGATCCAATTAAATGTCATGGCCGATCCATAGTTAATATTTCCCATGATTCCATTGTTACGTTGTTTGTCGTTGTTCTATTGCATCAGCCGCCATTATCGAGTTGGAAAAGTGGAACGGACACATATCGTTAGCTAGTTAAAATGTCTGCAGTTTGGCATCATTTTAAAATAACTACAAGTGAGTCGCCGACTGCGACATGCAAAGTCTGTGGTGTGGAAGTCTCACGAGGTGGTGCTAACAGGGTCTCCTACAACACCACAAACCTAATAAAACATCTTAAAAAGCACCACCCCGACGAACACGCCGCCTACTGTAAAGCGACAGCGTCTGCGACTGATGGACTCCATCAACAAACACTGCGGGACAGCTTGAAACGAAAGGCTTTACTTCCTCGAGACTCCGAGAGATTTCGCAAGATTACTGAGCTGATTGTGGAGTGCATAGCAGGGGACGACCAGCCAATTTCACTTGTGGAAAACTCCGGTTTTTGTCGTCTAATAAATTATTTGGGTGCCTGTCTATTTCTTAATGTATACGAAATTAAATGCTGTTTGCCAACACAAAAAGTGATATCGGAAATCGGTATCGGAAAACCGGTATCGGGAAATATCGGGATCGGATCGGAACCTATATGAAAATATCGGAATCGGATCGGAAGCTAAAAAATGAGATCGGGACATCCCTACACAGTATGTAAGGTTTTGGTTCTGCTCAACATAACTTGTTTGTACAACGTGTTGTATAACCTTGTCGGAAATGAAATATGTTGAAGTTGTTCCCACTACCTGAAAGCAGAGTAGAAAACAGGGTGTCATAGATAGGGAGGAGAGGCAATATATATATATATATATTATTTATAAATATATATTATATATAATTTATATATATATATATATATATATATATATATATATATATATTGCCTCTCCTCCCTATCTATGACACCCTGTTTTCTACTCTGCTTTCAGAGTATATGTGGGATAATGTTGGTGCACATTTTCAGACAGTCTCTCCAGAAAGTCAATGATAGCGTTGCACTAAGTGACAGAAATAGTTATGTCAAAAATGTAATAAGTTACAAAAACAGAGATAGAAAGATAAGTTAAATCCCTGGCCCCTTCTGTAGCATAAACAGTTCAACAGTTCAATTCTGGGGTAACACGGCCAATTCTGATGTTGGAAGGTGTGTGCATGTGCATGTGCGTGACTTTCCTAATCTATTAAAACATCTGACAAGCCCTTCTGAAGAAGTGACAGCTTCCCCCACATCTTCCAAGCAACTTACCCAACCAGATGAAACAAGACATCTACAAA